GCTTTCTAGGAATGGCTCCCTGACACCCAGTTCACCAAAGCTCTTGGATTGGTTCTCTGAAGCACCATTTTTTTCCATTATGCTTTGTGGATTCTTAGGAAGAAATGACTGTTGTTGGCAGCTGAGTGCCCTTCTCGGTCTGTATCTTGCTCACAGAACCTTGGGGGCTCAGAAACCTTTTTTTTTTTTTTTTTTTTGAGAGAGGGTCTCACTCTGTCACCCAGGCTAGACTACAGTGGTGCAGTCTTAGCTCACTGCAACCTCCGCCTCCCGGGTTCAAGCAGTCCTCATGCCTCAGCCTCCCACGTAGCTGGGATTACGAGCGTGTGCCACCACACCCAGCTAATTTTTGTATTTTTGGTAGAGACGGGGTTTCACTGTGTTGGCCAGGCTGGTCTCAAACTCCTGACCTCAAACAATCCACCCACCTCAGCCTCCTAAAGTGCTGGGATTACAGGTGTGAGCCACTGTGCCTGGTCAAAACACATTCGCTATGTAAAACTTCTGAAACTTCGTGAACTTTCTATGTTGAGTCTGGTTTCGGTCTATTCCACTGGTCAAAAGCTATATACATCATTTTTTTTCAGACAAATTTCTTTCCAGACTTGATTGCGATTACTTTGAGTGTAACCGGCAGCTAAGAGAAGACATTTTTATGATTCTTTTTTTTTTTTTTTGAGACGGAGTCTCGCTCTGTCGCCCAGGCTGGAGTGCAGTGGCCAGATCTCAGCTCACTGCAAGCTCCGCCTCCTGGGTTTACACCATTCTCCTGCCTCATCCTCTAGAGTAGCTGGGACTACAGGTGTCCGCCACCTCGCCCGGCTAGTTTTTTGTATTTTTTAGTAAAGACGGGGTTTCACCATGTTAGCCAGGATAGTCTCGATCTTCTGACCTCGTGATCCACCCGTCTTGGCCTCCCAAAGTGCTGGGATTACAGGCTTGAGCCACCGCGCCCGGCCAACATTTTTATGATTCTTATTGGCTCTTTTGTTTAACTGAAAAGATCCATTAGTACCAACTTAACTCTTTTAGAGGTCTTAACAAAAGATCTTCCAGCCTCATCTTGAGGATCTTTTATTGGCTGGGGAGGTTGGAGACAAGAACAGGGTTTATTTTCCAGTCTGCTCAATTTTAATCTCTTGATAGTCCCTCTAAATTCTGTACAGCAGCCCTTTCCCCTTATTTCTCTTACTTCTTTCTGGCAGTCCTTACAATATGCAGCTAACAGACACCACCAACTAACACATTTAGCATTCTGCTTGGAAATCATTTTATCAAGGCCTACACATTAAGTATGTTTTTTATCTTGTGAGTTGTTATAGGTAATAGTTTTACCAAGTGTTTTGCTGCTACCTAACATGTCATCATTTTTCCAGTTTGCTCTAGCAGTTTTCTTAGCACCTTAAGAAAACCCTCAAATTTTAAATTCATTTTGGAGTAAAACAGGCTCTTTGCTATTTACAAGATGAATTCTGAGTTGCAAAAATTCTCTGTCCATGTTTTTCCCTTTATTACCATGTTTTTCTCCTGTATTTCCCCCACTCAATCTTGGGTGCCACAATCCGACAGAGAGCATGGCACTTTTTTTTTTCTTTTTGCACCTGTAATGGAAACAGACTGTTTTCTGCTGCGTGGCAACAGACAGTAAGTGCATCCGATCTGTCAAACACAAGCATGCTTCTTGCTTTTTCACTGTTGCCCAGCACTTGCTCCCTAAACCAATGCCACATATTTTAGGCTTTTGTTAAACAGCATCGCATTTCTAGATGGCAATTTCTGTGTTTGTTTGTTTGTTTTATGTTTGAGATACAGTCTTGCTCTATCGCCAGGCTGGAGTGCAGTGGCATGATCTGGGCTCATTGCAATCTCCACCTCCTGGGTTCAAGTGATTCTCTTGCCTCAGCCTCCCAAATAGCTGGGATTACAGGTGCACACCACCACACACAGATAATTTTTGTATTTTTAGTAGAGATGGGGTTTCATCATGTTGGCCAGGATGGTCTCCATCTCCTTACCTCGTGATCCACTCACCTCAGCCTCCCAAAGGCATGAGACACTGCATCTGGCCATAGATGCCAATTTCTGTATCAGTTAGCTACTGCTGTATAACACACGCTTCTGAAACTCAGTGGCTTAAACAGTAAGCATTTATTAGTGTTTGTGTTTCTATGAGTCAGGTGGTTAGTCTGCTGACTTGGGCTTGCTCACATATCTGCGGTTATCTGGTGGCGTATCTTACAGGCATGAACCACCACCCGGCCGAGTTTTTTTCTTTGATCTATGTGCTATAAAGAAGTGTGTTGTTTTTATGTCCATGTATCTGGAGATTTTCCAGTTATCATTTAGTTACTGGTTTCTGGTTTAATTCCTTTGTGGTCTGATAGCATGCTTTGTGTGATGACCATTCTTTGAAATTTGTTGAGGTGTGTGCCCTTTTTTTTTTTTTCAGATTGAGTTTCGCTCTTGTTGCCCAGGCTGGAGTGCAATGGCATGATCTCGGCTCACTGCAACCTCCTCCTCCTGGGTTCAAGCGATTCTCCTGCCTCAGCTTCCCAAGTAGCTGGGATTATAGGCACTCACCAGTACGCCTGGCTAACTTTTTTGCATTTTTAGTAGAGACGGGGTTTCTCCATGTTGGTCAGGCTGGTCTTGCACTCCCAACCTCAGGTGATCTGCCCTCCTTGGCCTCCCAAAGTGCTGAGATTACAGGCATAAGCCACTGCGCCCGGCCGAGGTGTGTTTTATGGCCCAGTATACATGCTTTTTGATGTTCATATATAGGTATGTGTATTAGGCCTATACCTAGGGATTTCTGGGTCATAATGTGTATATTCAGCTCTACTAAATATGAACAGACGATTTTCCAAAGTGGCTGTCACAACTGCACCCCCAACAATAATGCATAACAGTTCTATGTGCTTCACAGCTTTGTCCTTGTGTTGTCTTGTCAGTTTTAAAACCTGTAGCCATTTTAGTGGATGTGTAGTATATATCATCATCGTGTTCATTTGCATTTCCTTAATGACTAAAAACATTAAGCATCTTTTCACATACTGCCTGGCTATTTGGATTCCTCTTTGGTGAAGTGCTGTACTTAGTGATTGTTTTTCTTTCTTATTGCTTTTAGGAGTTCTTGTTATATTTTAAATTCATTGTTAGATAAAATATATCAAAAATACCTTCTCTCATTCTGTAGATTATTTTTCATTCTTTTTCTTTCTTGAGACAGGATCTAACCTTGTCGCCCAGGCTGGATTGTAGTAGCACAATCCTGACTCACTGCAGCCTTGACCTCCGAGGCTCAAACAATCCTCCCACCTCAGCCTCCTGAGTAGCTGAAACCACAGGAATACACCACCACACCTGGCTAATTTTAAAAATTTTTTTGTAGAGATGGGGTCTCCCTATGTTGTCCAGGCTAGTCTCCAACTCCTGGACTCAAGTGATCCTCCCACCTCAGCCTACCAAAGTGCTGAGTGGGTGTGAGCCACTGCACCCATTTTTTACTTTCTTAACGGTGTCTTTTGATGAACAGAGTTTCTTACTTTTAATCATATCTAATTTATCAATCTTTTCTGTGTGTTTGATGTTTTTTAGATGTGGACACCATTATTATCAACCTGTTTTTATAGAAAAGTTGAGTTGCTTGGCACTGGAGCTCTGTAGGGTCTGGACCAGGGGGAGGCAGGCCTGAAACAGCAAATCACCCTCAGGCTTCTGCAGTGCACCCAGCACCGCAGGACACCCAGAGTCAGCGCCTCCTCAGATTTTGAGCCCTAAGTGCCTCACTTGCCTCGCCCTAGACCCAGCCCTCCCAAAGTGTTGAATTACCTCCTTATGTTTATTATTTCCTAGACTAGGGCACAATAGAGTCAATTAGCTTTCCTTTATCAGTGTCTAGTCCGTTTGGGCTACTATCACAACATACCTTAGTTTGGGTAACGCATAAACAACAGAACGCCATTGCTCCCAGTCTGGAGGCTGGGAAGTCCAAGATCAACGCCCTGGCAGATTCTTCATCTATTAGCGTCTGTGCCTCATACAAAGGACCCTCTCTGTGTCCTCACATGGCAGAAGCTCTCTCTGGTCTCTTTGATAAAGACACAGTACATTTGTAAATTTATAAAGGCTACAAAGGCACGAAAATCACATATGAATTTGGGGCGGAGCACAAAGATTTACACCATAGCAACCAGTACAATCAAACTAAATGATCATCCTGTTCCGTCTACCAAATACTGCCAGAAATGGTGCCCAGCCTTAGAAAACATGTAAAGCTCTTGATTTTCTTGAATACATAACTTTCACCTTTTTAAAAATTATTGTTTTATTTATTTTTGTAGACAGTCTTGCTCTGTTGCCCAGGCCGGAGTGCAGTAGCTTGATCTCGGTTAACTGCAGCCTTTACCTCCTGGGTTCAAGAGATCCTCCCACCTCAGGCTCCCACTAGCTGGGACTACAGGCACGGGCCACCACACTTGGCTAACTTTTGTATTTTTTGTAGAGACAGGGTCCCGCTATGTTGCTCAGGCTAGTCTCGAACTCCTGGGCTCAAGCTATCCGCCCGCCTCGGCCTCCCAAAATGTTGGGATTACATGTGTGAGCCTGGCCTGAATAGGTGACTTTGAATGCGCTCCAGTCCCAGTCCAGTTGGAGAAACGGAAAGTTTCCCGCATCTTGAAGAAGAGGACCCCCGCAGCCTTCCCGAGAACTTTCCATAGGGCCGTGGCCTCAGGCGGACTGTGAACCACGATCACCAGCAGGGGGCGGCCCAGTGTTCTTAGAACCCGGGTCCCACGAGCTTGTGAACAGGGCACGGGTGAAAACCCGGATCCAGGTGGTTCCGCCGGAACGCGCCCCGAGCTCGCCCGCGCGGCTGCTTCCGCCGCTCCTGATCGGCTCTCCGGGTCTTCCCGGGGCCCAGGCTGGGGCTCATAGGGAGAAAGGAAGCGGCCCTGCGGCCCGCGGGGCGAACCCTGCTCCGCGCGAGGTGAGTGCGAGCGCCGCATCTCCTTCAGCCGCGGCGGTCGCTTGGTGGGAGCAGGGGCTTGATGCTGAGACACGGAAAGACGCTTTTCCGGTCCCACGGAAGCTGGGACACTACCCACGGGAGTCACAGCCTAAGGAAACTCCCTCTCTGTGCCGAGCAGGGGGTGCGTGTAAGAGACGGAGTGGTGTATGCAAAATAATCCAAGTCTGTTTTGGGGACTTAGTGGCGCATAGGCAGAGCCACTGCCTGAGATTGAAGCCTGATCCACCAGGCGGGAGGCAGGTGCCGGGCCGGAGCCTCCGCTGGAGCCCGGAGGAGGAGCGCAGGGTCCCGACGCCTCCCCGCCTGCCCCGATCGGCCTCCTCCCCAGGCCCGCGGCCGTCCATTCCAGAACCTAATATGCCTTTGCGGGGCGCAAATTGCCTTGTTCTTCCCCAGGTCTTCCCAGAGAATCACTTGTTGCGGGAATGTTGTGTTGAAGTCGTAGCAACTGTGACTTTTTAGTTGCAGAGAGCACGGTGTATTTAATGGAGAAAATGCCCCGGGAAAGCACCGGCAACTGCAGGCCTGGGTTATCCCATTTGCAAGCCATGTGTTAAGTGTTTTGCTCCCGATTAGTACCCTCAGAACAGAGCTCATTTTGTGTAAACTATAGAAATAACCATGCTGTGATTGTATGACATTTTTCTGGGGATTTTTAAATGATTTTTTAAAATAAAGCAGACGTCACACAAAATGACTTTTCCTTAACACCACTGCCCCAACAGTCTGTCCCCTGCCCCCTGCTACAGCTCCCTGCAATAATAGTTTTATGTGTTTTATGCATGAAATGACTTGAATTGTTAATTTCATTTGTGGAATGCATGCAGCTCTGGCTGGCCACAGTTTTGAATAAGGCAAGTTCGCTTTAAGGACTTTATTCCCTTTGTACATCCTTCTTTCCAATGAGACACTCAGGAAACTCAACGACCAATCTTGGGATTGTTAGTAACGTCACACTACAACTAGGGCAGGATTTCTCCCTCGTCTGCCGTAGTCTCAAATGGAGGCCTTTCAGGCATTGAATAAGCAGCTCAGCTCTTTGAACACTGAAGTTTCACAGTCTCCAATCTAGCAGCACTGTAGTCTGTTTTAAAGAAATTTTCTTCTGAGTAAGGAGAAGCCGGAGACAGTGGTTAGCCTCGGGTGATCATTCAGGTCTGTTCCAATTTTGAAACTGTTGTGATAACTCTTGCTCGCTTCCTGCTAGATGGCAGTGTGTAACAATGAATTAAAAACACGATCTCCATTCTTACTGTGTTATTGCTTGTCTTTTATTCTTCAATAAGAAGAAAAGTAGGTTTTCAAGTTTTATCGTACAAATAATATTTTTGAAAAATTCAAAACTAGGGTTAAATTCAGGAAGTTAAAAGAATATAGCTTGGAAAAACAATAATGTTATTTATAGATGTAGAAATATTCTTCAATAGGCAGACATTTCCAACCCATATTTAAATGCTTTAAACTTCGGAATGTAAAGAGTTGATTTCAGTAAGATATTCAATATCTAATTCAATTACCAGCGTTCTACAATGAACATTTGTTATAGTGTTTCTGAACATAGGTTTTTGAAAATTTTTTTAAAGTTAAGTTTGTCTTTACTTACAATGTCTTTCAGATTTTTTTTTTTTTTTTTTTTTTTTAGACAGAGTCTCGCTCTGTCACCCAGGCTGGAGTGCAGTGGCCGGATCTCAGCTCACTGCAAGCTCCGCCTCCCGGGTTCACGCCATTCTCCTGCCTCAGCCTCCCAAGTAGCTGGGACTACAGGCGCCCACCACCACGCCCGGCTAATTTTTTTTGTATTTTAGTAGAGACGGGGTTTCACCGTGTTAGCCAGGATGGTCTCGATCTGCTGACCTCGTGATCCGCCCGTCTCAGCCTCCCAAAGTGCTGGGATTACAGGCTTGAGCCACCGCGCCCGGCCTTGTCTTTCAGATTTTTTTCTTTGAGAATGAAATTGGAGTTTTCAAAAGATTATATTAAATTACCAACAAGGAAAATGAAGATAAAGTAATCCTAAACATGTTACATACATTTAAAAAAATATTTTCAGAAATCTTTATGATGACTCAAGTTGTCTGGATTACTGTCTCTTGATTAATCTTTTATGGAGAGTTTTTACTCCTGGATATAATTTATGGGATGAGAGAGCTTAATTTTGGGATGGCACCTCAGAAGATCATTTGGTCCAGGAATGTTGTGTTGAAGTCGTAGCAACTGTGACTTTCTAGTTGTAGAGCGCACGGTGTATTTAATGGAGAAAATGCCCTGGGAAAGCACCGGCTTTCTTTAGTCATTTAGATTTGTCTAAATTTGTCTAGATTAAAGATTTGTCTTTAGTCATGTGAAATATTAGCTACATTTTATCAGTGTTACTGAACCAGCTCCTCATTCATGATTATATAAATGATAAAAGCAGATCGGGGATTTTATTTGTTTTTTCTAGTCTGCAGTTATTCAATATTTATTAATTTACATTTTTTTCTGGAGATGAGGGATTTTAATTCAGGTATCCTGCCTGGTAGGAAAATTGCGACAAAGTAACCTAAAAGCCCTTCTTGGAGGAAGACTAGTTACTAATAAGACCTCATAGGAAAAACAAAGGCGAAAAAGAATCCCTGCTCTTGAAGAATTGCCTTGGTTTTTTTTTTTTTTTTTTGAGGCGGAGTCTCGCTCTGTACCCCTGGCTGGAGTGCAGTGGCGCGATCTCCGCTCACTGCAAGCTCCGCCTCCCGGGTTCCCGCCATTCTCCTGCCTCAGCCTCCCGAGTAGCTGGGACTACAGGCGCCCGCCACAGCGCCCGGCTAATTTTTTGTATTTTTAGTAGAGACAGGGTTTCACCGTGGTCTCGATCTCCTGACCTTGTGATCCGCCCACCTCGGCCTCCCGAAGTGCTGGGATTACAGGCGTGAGCCACCACGCCAGGCCCTTGGTTCTTACTGTGATACATAAACTTCACAGTCTTGTGCCGCCACCCCACTTTTAATTTTTTTATTTTTGAGACGGAGTCTAGCTCTGCCACCCAGGCTGGAGTGCAGTGGCACGATCACAGCTCACTGCAGCCTTGACCTCCCAGGCTCAAGGGATCCTCCTGTTCAGCCTCCCAGTAGCTGGGACTAGGACTACAGGTGCACACCAGCATGCCCAGCTAACGTTTTGTTTTTTCTTTTTTTTTTGTAGAGATGGGTTCTTGCCGTGTTGCCCAGGCTGGTCTTGAATTCCTGGGCTCAAGTGATCCACCCACCTCAGCGTCTCAAAGCGCTGGGATTACAGGCATGAGCCACGACACCAAGCTTTCCCTTTTAAAAATCTGTGCTTCTTGCTGGGCACCGTGGCTCATGCCTGTAATCCTAGCACTTTGGGAGGCCAAGGCAGGTGGATCACGAGGTCAGGAGGTCGAGACCATTCTGGCCAACATGGTGAAACCCTGTCTCTACTAAAAATACAAAAAATTAACTGGGTGTGGAGGCGCACACCTGTAATCCCAGCTACTTGGGAGGCTGAGGCAGGATAATTGCTTGAACCTGGGAGGCGGAGATTGTGGTGAGCCGAGATCGCGCCACTGTACTCCAGCCTGGGGACAGAGCGAGACTCTGTCTCAAAAAACAAACGAACAAAAAAAAGGTAAAAAATCTGTGCTTCTAATTGAGGCATTGCATCAGTCTGTTTATCTGGCTCTCTGTGTCTTTTGGATTTGTTTTTAGTTTCTGCATCAAATAGATCCACTGAATACTCACTCTTGTGAGGTTGTATGATCAACACTGCATAATTTAAGCAGTTTAGTATATGTCTGGAATTTAAGGATTGAGGAATGACATTTCCTTCATTTCTGCAATAGAAGTGCAGAGGTGTCTGGCTACACCTTCTCTTTCCCCATTAATCTCCAGTCTTGATTCACATGACTGCCAGTGTGCCTTTCTCCCTTACTGTTCTCTACTGGTCTCGCCTGAAGTTTCGACTAGGATGAAGAGGATGACTTTCCCACATAGAAATCTGCAATCCAAAGCATGCTTTATATAAAAATAAATGCTCAGCAAAATATGAAGTTCACTGAAAAAGAGTGAGGAACACATTAACACAAGTTTTTGTTTTGTTTTGTTTTTGAGACAGAGTTTTGTTCTTGTTGCCCAGGCTGGAGTGCAATGGTGTCATCTTGGCTCACTGTAACCTCCGCCTCCTGGGTTCAAGCGATGCTCCTGCCTCAGCCTCCTGACTAGCTGGGATTACAGGCATGCGCCACCACACCCGGCTAATTTTTGTAGTCCTAGTAGAAACAGGGTTTCACCATGTTGACCAGGCTGGTCTTAAACTCCTCACCTTAAGTGATGCACCTGCCTTGGCCTCCCAAAGTGCTGGGATTACAGGCATGAGCCACGGGCCTGGCCATTAACATAAGTCTTGATAAAGAAAATTGAGTAAAAATGGAAACTGTGGAGGTATTACACCATGTTCATCAGATGCCCAAGGGACAATCACAGGCACTACGGAAGTCTGCAAATTAACAAAATAGGCCAACTTTTAAATGTTCATCAGTTGCTTTTTATGCATCTGATAAAGCAATTTTAGAAAGTTTACTAAAATCCCCCAGCTTCCTGTGTTCTCTCCATTGTCCTGATGGAAACAAGCATGTGATGATATGAATCTATAAACTGATTTGTTAGCTGGGTGCAGTGGCTCACACCTGTAATCCCAGCACTTTGGGAGGTTGAGGTGGGCAGATTGCGTGAGCTCAGGAGTTTGAGACCAGCCTGGCCAACATGGTGAAATCCTGCCTCTACAAAAAATACAAAAAAAAAAAAAAAAATTAGCTGGGTGTGGTGGCACACACCTGTGGTCCCAGGTACTCCGGAAGTTGAGTGGGCGAATCACTTGAGCCTGGGAAGTTGAGGCTACAGTGAGCCAAGATTGTACCACTGCACCCAGCCTAGGTGACAGAGGAGACCGTGTCTCAAAAACAAAACAAAGAAACAAAAACTGACTTGGTGTTGGGAGGGGTAATGCCTCCCAAAGGAGGTAATCTTGAAAGTCTTGCAGAATGGCTAGCACCGTGAAAGAGGTGGAAGGGCTTCCAGATAGGCACAAGAGCACAGAGTGGGAAGCCGTGTTCCAGATACCAGGAACAGAGTCCTTGTGCTGCATACCAGGAAAGGAAGCCAGAGAGGTAGGGCACAGCCCACATTGTGTTTTCTGTTTTTTTGTTTTGTTTTGTTTTGTTTGAGATGGAGTCTTGCTCTGTTACCCAGGCTGGAGTCCAGTGGCATGATCTTGGCTCACTGTAACCTCTGCATCCTGGGTTCAAGTGATTTTCCTGCCTCAGCCTCCACAGTAGCTGGGACTATAGGCACACACCACCACACCCAGCTAATTTTTGTATTTTTAGTAGAGATGGGGTTTTGCCACGTTGGCCAGGCTTGTCTCCAACTCCTGACCTCAAGAAATCCACCCTCCTTGGCCTCCCAAAGTGCTGGGATTGCAGGCATGCACCACTGCATCCGGCCTCACATTAATAAGTGGCACTTCAGTGTCAATAGTTTAAATTTGATAATTAGATACATTTCTTCTAAAAACTCTCCATGGTATAACCTCTAGCTTATTAACCCCATTGACCCCCCAATTACCAGAACAGAAATGGGCAAAGGAGTCTTCCCAGAGCTCCCTGCCTTCTGCCTCGCCTCTCCTGCAAGTAGGGAGAGGTAGGAGGAGGAGGGGCACACAAACTACCAGGTTCTTCTACTTCTTTTTTTTTTGAGACACGGTCTCCCTCTGTCATCCAGGCTGGAGTGCAGTGGTGTAATCTCAGGTCACTGCATCCTCTGCCTCCCAGGTTCAAGGGATTCTCCTGCCTCAGTCTCCCTAGTAGCTGGGATTACAGGTGCCTGGCACCACGCCTGGCTGATTTTTGTATTTTTTAGTAGAGATGAGGTTTCGCTATGTTGTCCAGGCTGGTCTCAAACTCCTGACCTTAGGTGATGTGTCCACCTTGGCTTCCCACAATGCTGGGATTACAGGCATGAGCCACCGCACCCAGCCTCACAAACTACCAGGTTAGGAAAGCTCAGAGTGTCACCTAAGGTTGGTTTTTCATTTTACAGTAAGACATGCAGGAAAGAAATCATCCCTTGGTTCCATTTCTGAGACTCTTATACTTTCAACTGGCC